AGCAAACTGAAGCTGTGAACAATCTCAATCTCTTCGCCATCCATCCTGATGCTACCGATTGGTCCAGTGGTGAGAATTTTTGTCTTCTTGACATTGAGCAATCAAGATGCATTGCTGGTATTAGAATTAGTAAAAAAGGTCTGACCTCCACCATATAGGAATCAACCTTAGTTGTTGATATTGTAACATTTTATTTGAATGTTTACTGAGAAAATTGGTTTTTCACTTAACAAGTGACACTTTTTTTTATGACACTGACTACAATCCTTACATTCTAACAGCATTCTTCCCACTTTCTTCCTGTTTCCCATTCCATTTGCCCATTTTGCCTCCTGAGCCTTTTTCTTGAACAAATGCTGCTCTTTTGATCTTGGATGGCTGATTTCTCTAAGAATTGTGTTCCTCCTTGGCTTGTCTATTGTTCGGCTGGAAAATGAGTCATGGACGTGATTTTAATTCCAGGACTGAAGAATGACTATGAGTCATAGTCTTGGGTATTCCACCAATCTCTACTATACCTGTAAACTTGGCCTTTTTTAAAAAACGATTTTGCATTTTGTTCCACAATTTTACTCCACTCTGTTTTGATCCATTTAGGTTTATGGAGATGGAAAATTACAAGGCCCATTAGTGCTCTGCTAATAGTTATTTGTTTCGTTTTAACAAACAAAGCTTTATTCTTCCTGTTTGGGAGGCTAGAGGCCTAGATTTGGGGTGTTGGCTCTAAGGAAAGGCTTTCTCTGTTTCAGCTCTGGAGGAAGGTACTTGTTTCTTCTGGACTAATGGGATTTCTTTTTTTTTCCTCTTCTTTGCTTGGTGGGCAGTTGATTTGATTCTCCCTCCTCATTGTGAAATTGGAGGTCAGAGGCCTCCATGTCATTTTTACAGAAGAAATGGTGACTTCAAAATTGAGGCAAGGAACTGAAGTGTAAGAAAAGGGGACTGATTTATATGGAGAAAAATTAATTTGTTCTAACCACAAGTATTTATTGATGGATCAGAGAGTACAATTGTAATGGAACAGTAAGGCACAACCGTGGATTAAAACAGTTTGCTCTACAGCCAAAGGGTAGGGGAAAGCCATACTCTTAGGAATTTTAAATATACAAATCAAAGAGCCTCTGAAGTACCTAACATATCAGCATCAGACAATTCTTCCCTTTTATACAATTTCTACATTACACCTTTGGATCACAAAATCAGTCTGAAAATTCATAAAGAATTCATCATTCATTTATAGTTGAGCCATCTACCCTGGTCAGTCCTGTTCTTTCTTCTTTCCCCATCTCTTTGCAGTGGAATTCTTTAGCAATTTCCTTCCTAAAGAATTGTGCGCACTGAGATCACTTTCTAAAACAAAGAAACAAGCAAGGAAGCAACGAGCCAGAGAAAGACAGCCAAGAGCAGGTAGATAAATTAGACTCATACAGACAGATGTTAGGATGGCAACAGCCTGATTCAATGAGGTCTAAATTAAGCCGACTTTGGCAGAGAAGTTGCTCTGGCTTGCTCAATAGCCTGCGATGCCACCTCAGATTGTGTTACCACTGCAGGCCCCTTGCTTCTGAGGGATTACCAATGATTGACACAAAGAGCTAGGAAGCCAAAGTAACCAGGCAGCTAATGTTAACAATACATTCAATGTTGTGGACCTGTACTAGGAGCTAACCATGGCTTCTAGTAAAATCATTTTCCAAGTGTAAAATTCATGAAGAATTTTGTGCAAAATGTCAAGACATTGAGGACAATCTTTACATTTCTTGGGCTGGGGTAAGTTAGGCACTTCTTTAACATTATTCTTTCTACTTGAAAATGTTAAGTGAGAAACATTCCAGTGCATATAACACTGAAGCATAAGCCATGCTGCAGAGGTGTGAATACAGGATGCTTTATAGGATGCCTGAGGTTTCTCAAAATAGCCACTCATAAGTCCCCATGTCATTCTGGTGGTGACTCAAAAAAACTCAAGACTCACTGCTGTTCTATCAGTTGTGATTCACAGCAACTCTACTGGATTTCAAAGGCTGTAAACTGCAACAGGAGGAGACTCTCATCTTTCTGCCAAGGAGCTGCTGGTGGATTTCAACTGCTGGAGACAAGTGGCCTCTGGGTTAGCAGCACAGCTTGTTATGAACTATGCCACCACAACATCCCTTGGTGGTGATAAGTGCCCCCAAACTAACCAAAAATCCAGGCATATGGCTATTTTCTGAAGCATCAACACTGCACTAACTTGTCATACTAGCACGTATGTTGAGAATCAGAGGCCAGAGGTAGAGTGAGCTAGGCAAGCCTCCTAGAAGCTTTGGCTCTGTACCTCTCACCAAGACCACCAACTTTCGAGAACATCTCCATCAGGCAGTTCTTTGATAACAGAGCAGAATTCAGGGGACTGAGACATAGGCCCATTCTTGAGAGAAGTGCTGGTTACCAAAAAGTTCCTGGAGAGTTAACACTCCAAAGACTCATTTACGAGTGAAGGTAGATAAAAACAGCCAGACCACTGAACTATCCTGCAAAGTCAGAAACATATTAACAGGCATAGCTTAGGGTGCCAAGTAGGACAGAAGGTAATTCTGAAGGTTAAAAAAAAAAGCGAAGTGACTAACAGACCAAGTGATTGTTATGTTGTGAGACACAGAAATAGGAAACAAAGGGCATATTTTAAAAAAAAGGATGAAGCACGCCAGAACCTGGCTGGAGGAAAGGCAGCACAGCCAACATGAACATCCAGTCAACGAGTTCTGCTGGCTGGTCCTTGACATAACTCCCTCTCTCTCACTTCTCAGACTGGACGGATGTGCTGGATTCGGAAGAAGAGAGGAAAACAGTGTTTCTCACAGGAGAATTGTTAAATGGATTAAAAAAAATGGGCTGGGTGTACCATTCTGTAATGCCTTGTTTACAACAAAAGTATTCTGTGTTGACAAAACATATTTGGGGATCATGCAACAGTAGTACTTTGGGAAGAGGGGACTGATGGGGCAGAGGTGGGGTTGGTGGACAGGAGTCTCAAGTTCCAGTTCTTAAATACTAGAAAGCAAGGGGTAATTTGGTCTCAGTTCTTTAGTGAAGAAATCGGATGCTCATTTTCTGCTCTACATCCACCTTTTCCAAAACCTAGAGGGAAAAAGAAAATCCAATTACATTTGTGTATATCACAGCTGACTCTGTCCACAGTTCTTAGCTATACAATATACCACCCCCACTTCTGTGAATCAGAATTTAATTTTTTCAAAGGTGAATGCCTCACCTTAACAAATTCTGTGAAAGATATGGCACTGTCCCCATCTTGATCTGCCTCCTGGATGGTCCTGTCTGCAATACTGCCCAGCTGCTCATCTGAAATATTTACTCCAACCATCATGCGTAGCACCTGTAAGACCAAGAGTCAGGAATTAGAGATAGACACATGGCAGACGAACTGTCATACTAAGATTAAAAGTAAACACATACTCCCTTTTATTTTGATCTCTGAAAATATAACAGACATGTATGAAATCCTTAAGTTCTTGTGAAGGCCATTCTTTAGTTGTTGTTAGGTGCTGCTGAGTCGAGCACACTCATAGTGACCCTATGAACAAAATATATGAACTCTGTTCTATCTTGACACTTCCTGACACACAAGAGCCCACTGCAGCAATCACCATATCAATCTACCTGATTGAGGGTCTTCCTCTCCTTCACTGACCCTCACCCTTCCCAGCCTCATGTCCTTCTCCAAAGAACAGCGCCTCCTAGTAACATGTCCAAAGTACGTAACGTGAAGCCTCATCATTCCTCCCTCCAAAGAGCACTCTGGCTGCATCTTCTCCAAGACCTATCTGTTCATTCTCTTGGCCATCCATGGGATGTTCAGTGCTCTTTTCTAACACCACAGCTCAAAGGCATCAATTATTTTTCTGTCATCCTTATTCACTGTCCAGCTCTCAGGTGCACAGCTAGTAACTGGAAAGACTATGGCTTGAATCAAACATATTTTAGTCTTAAACTGACATTACCCTTCAATAATTTGGAGAGGTCCCCAACAGCAGAGTTTGCAGTGCAATGTGTCTCCTTATTTCCTGACTGCTAGTACCAAGGGTGAGAATTGTGGTTCCAAGCAAGATGAACCTGTTGATAGTTGCAATCTACTTTCCAATCATCGGTTGCCTATCGGTCCAGTGGTAAGAACCTTTGTTTTTCTGACATTGAGACGCAATCCATACTGAAGGCTGCATTCCCTGATCTTCTGCAACGAGTGCTTCAAGTCCTCATTTGCAGCAAGCAAGGTTGTGTCATCTGCATAACACAGGTTATTGATGAGTCTCTCTCTAATCCTGATACCTCATTTCTCTTCATATAGTCCAGTTTCTCAGATAAATTGCAGTGCCCTCCTGATCTGTTTGCACAACAGCCTCACATGATTACAACCAAGTGCTTTGGGATTCCCATTCTTTTCAATGTCAGCCACAACTTGTCATGAACCATACAGTCAAACGCCTTTGCATAGTCAATAACAGACAAAGACATTCTTCTGGTATTCCTTACTTTCAGCCAAGATCCATCTGACACCAGCAATGATATCCCTGGGGCCATGGCCTTTTCTAAATCCTGCTTGAACTTCTGGCAGTTCCTTATCTATGTACTATTTCAACCATTTTTCAATGATCTTCAGCAGTATCTTGCTTGCATGTGATATCAATGATACTGTTCGATAATTTCCACATTCAGCTGGATCACCTTTCTTGGAAATGGAAACAAATATGGATCTCTTCCGATCTGTTGGCCAGCCAGCCATCCTCCAAATTTCCTGGCATAGACTGGTAAATGCATCCAAGGCTGCATCTGTTAACTGAAACAAGTCAATTGGTATCCCACTGATTTCTAGGGCCTTTATTTTTTGCCAGTGTCTTCAATGCAGCTCCTACTTCCTCCTTCATTACCATTGGCTCCTGTTCATTTGGTACTTCCGGAAATTTTTCAGTGTCAATCAGTTCTTTCTGATACAGTGATTCTGTGTATCCTCTCCATCTTCTTTTATTTATTTATTTTTTTAATTGTTGTGTACCACTGAATCGGATCTGATTGGCACAGGAGGAGACTGTCTCTCCTTCTCCAGCAGAACATCTGGTGGATTCGAACCATGTGCCTTCAGGATTACAGTGCAGCTTCTTGCCACTAGGCCACCAGAGATCCCTTCCTCCATCTTCTTTTGATGCTTTTTGGGTCATTCAGTATATTGTCCATATTTCAATATTGTGACACAAGGCTTAAATTTGTTTTTCAGTTCTTTCAGCTTGAGAAATGCAGAGCGAGTTCTTCCTTTTTTATTCTCCAATTCCAACTTTCTGCACATTTCATTATAATACTTTGGTTTGTTCTCCAGAGCAGACCTTTGAAATCATCTGTTCAGCTCTTTCACTTCAACATGTTTTTTTTTCCATTTGTATTCTTGATGTTCCATTGCAATCTTTAGTCGCTCTGACATCCATTTCGATTTTTTCTTTCTCCTCTGTTTTTGTAATGACATTTTGCTTTCTTCACAGATGATATCCCTATCATCCCACAACTCATCTGGTCTTCCATAATTGGTGTTCAATGCCTCATACCTATTTCTTAGAAGATCTTGAAATTCAGATGGAATTAATTCAAGATCATATCTTGGTTCCTGTTAACTTACTTTCATTTTCTTTGCTCTCAATTTGAACTTGCCTATGAGTAAGTGATGATCTGACCCACAGTCTGCCCCTGACCTAGTTTTGACTGCCAATCAGTTTCTTCCACAAATGTAGCCAATCTGATTCCTATGCAGCCCATCAAGTGGGATCCATGTGTAAAGTTATCTTTTGTGTCTTCTAGGAAAGATATCTGTGATGAATAAATCATTGTAAATCCAAAATTCCAACTACTGTTCCTTCTTCACTGTTTCCCACTTTACATAATGATTTTAGCAGATATCTCAGTGATGTGGCCATTTGATAGAAAGATGAAAGTCCTTCCCTTTTGTTCCTACCCAGAAAACAGTGTCTGGTGGCACAGAAGCCATTCTATGACTGTGAAAATCCTATGTACCATTGACAGTAGAGGAAGACTACAGAGGAAGCCTACTTCCTAGAAATGAACCAATCTGGCCAATTTTGTTGCAAGAGACAGACTTCTTGTTACATGAGACAAATCTGGTCCCTTAGTTGTTTAAGATATTCTGGAATCCCTAGCTAATGTGGTCTACTCGCAGGTGGTATATGAACCCGGAAACTGCCTCATAAAGGTCCTTAATGTGCTATATACTAAAATGCCTTCTTAGAAAAATAGTAAGCACTGCAATAAAGAGAACTTAAAAACATCTCAAATTCATCAAGAGACCTTTTCCCTACTTCTGCCAACATCTTTCGGGTATGACATGCTTTGGAAATTGCTGCCTTAAGCTGAGTGCCTGCATGCATCTGGAGGTGCTGAGCTTGTCACACAACTGCCTGTCCCAGCTGCCCACCAGCCTCGCTGACCTCTCCTGCCTGAAGAAGCTGAACCTCAGCAACAACTGCTTTGCCCACATCCCCATCTGCGCCTTCTCCCTGAAGGAGCTGGACTTCTTGCACGTGGACTCCAATAGCCTGGAAAACATCACCAAGAGCATCCAGTGCCTGGCAAGCCTAAAGATCTTCATTGCCGAGAATAACAACATCCATTGCTTCCCTAGGTCTCTGTGTTTGCTCAGCAGCCTGGAGCTGCTGAGCTTGAACAACAATGAGATCCAGACACTCCCAGACGAACTCTACCTGCTGTGTAGGCTGTCAAGGATTGCCTGGAATCCGATGGACAAAGGGCTCCACATTTCCTATACCTCTTTAGCCAAGCCCCTGCCTGAGCTAGTGGAAGGGGGTCTGGAGAGGCTCTTCAGCTACTTGAAGGACAAGAAGCACAATTGACTTGGCCAAGAGAGGCCCCAGAGAGCCAGCTCACCTGATGGTCCACAGGGTACTTTGTAGCTGTTGGGATTTGTCGGCACTTCTGTTAAAATTAGCTAGTTAATTGTGGAATGCCCTCTCCAGAGAGGAGGTGACTTTTAACTCTGTGTCTTCCTGATAACCTTCATATTGTGTGCTCATTTCTTTCTAGACATATATTGAAATGGCCTTTTGAGTTTCTCCAGAAAGAAATAATTGCTTGAAGGAGTAGCAAGATGCAGCCTATGAAAAAGAGGTCTAATTTGAGCCTCCTTCAAATATTTACCAAACACCCAGTATCTGCTCTCAGACGGTTTCTGCTCTTGAGTCGACAATCTGTCACCAGGTGGCAACAGCAAGACATGTTCCCTACTTCAGTTTCAACCAAGCTTGTTTGGGACCAAAGAGTGAGCTGAAGTCCCCACTCCGCTGTCAGTGACCAGGTTAGGCTGAGAGTTCCCTTGAACACATTTTAGAGAGAAAATTCCAATGATTGTCCCCAAAAACTCAAGGGAACTCTCAGTCTAACCTGAAAATCTCTGTAAATGCTCATTAAAATTATTATTATTTTTTAAAAAAGATTGTTACCTTAAAAAACATACTTAATTCAGAAATATGAAGATGGAGACTGGGTCCTTTTCTAACACTTTACATCACTAGCCACCACTGTTCTCAAAAAAGATAAGAGAAAGGGAAGATAAGAGATAAGGGATAAGGGAAGATAAGAGATAAGGGAAGAAAGGCCTTACCACAGGCCTACCTTTCCCTCCGGTTAAGCAAATTCCTATGCATAGTGACCTCATAGGACAGATGATATGTATATGGGAGCTGTAATGTATATGGGAGCTGAGTGTCAAGGATTTTTTCTCACAAAGCAGCTGGTGGGTTTGAATGGCCAAGCTTTCTGTTAGAAGCCAACCATTTTAACTACTGCCACCACTGGATCATCTTAAAATTATGCTAACCTCCCAAGACAGAAAAAGAGTGTAGCAATTATCTTTATTAATAGAAAATAAACTCTACTTATTTAACTATTTAACAGGAGGCTTCTTGGTTGCTAACTTAAAGGTCTCCTGTTTCAACCCACCAGAAGCTCCATAGGAGTAAAGATTTAGTGACCTGGTGTCATACAACCTAGGAAACTGTGGAGCAGCTTTACTCTGTCCTACAGGGTTGCTAAAAGTCAAAACAGACTGGAAAACATTAAATAACAAAGTCCATATATTTAAGATATATAATCTGGTAAATTTTGACACACATAAACTTGACTCGCACCTAACAACATACACCCCGAGGCCACCACAATCAAGATAATGAACATAATCTATTACCTCCAAAAGTTCAGCCACAAATTTAAAGAAGAATCATGGTTGAAAGAGCGTTTTCCCACAAACAGAAACTTCTATCAGACAGATAAAGAAAATGCAGCCATAAAATTCTACTGAGACGTCTTCAAGTTCCAGTCACAGACAAGCTCATGCAGAGCCACCTCTTGGGCCACAGCCATCAAGAACCTTGTCCTTTTCCACTGTCTTGACAGGCTGCTCCCTGAGGTGTCTGTTGCTTCAGTAACCCACCCCTCCCCACCCCGGCCCAAGTCAGTGACTGTTCCAGGAGCATCAGTGCAGACCCCTCTCAGCTGTGTCTAATTTCAGCTTTGTTCACATGTGAATGCAGCTCCTCAATTGTGGGACCAGGGAGGAAGATGGCAAGCTGTGGGAACCATCAGTGAGCCCCTCACCCAGCCCTCAGAGCTGCAGAAGCATTGGTGACCCCAGCACCCACATGTCCCATTCGTCACCCCAGTGCGCCAGAACAGTCACAGGACAAAGACCACATGGTAGAGAGTTTCCTGGAATAATTTATTGGATTCTGAAAATAGGACTAATAAAGCAATAATGTTCTAGGCATCCCTCAACATAATCAAATCGGGATTCCACACACGAGCATGTTGTGAGCCTCTTTTCTATTTTGCTGTGCTACTGAAAACCCTCAGATGTAAAATACTAGCTTGTTAATGAATTCTGTGAACAGTAATGTGATTAAAAATAAGTCTAAGCAGCTGTAAAAGTGACCACAATGACGTGAAATAAATGTACTAAGTTGAGCTCTGAAAAAAAAAAAAAAAGAAAGAGCATAAGCCCTAAGCCTTTCCTCAGGATAAACTTACTGTGAATATTTTAACATCTGATGATGACTAACTAAGAATTACATATTACCAAATGTTTGCGAAATGGTAGTACTACCCAGAAAGAGAAACTTTGTCCTTTTCTTACTTTTGGAAAATGATTCTCTATTTGCTAAGATAAAATTGGTTGTCTTACATCTCAAAAGTTCAGAGAACATTTATCCTAAAGTACTGAGACCTAAAGGACACTATAGTGGCATTCAGTAGATAAATCATCTGACACTCTAGCTACATCATTCCCTCTCTACTCTATGATTGAGTCTTTCTTTATCCTAATACTGTGTGTATTGCATACTGTGGAGTTGGAAACCTCC